GCCCATTCAACCTCACTCCTCAGGATGTCTGGTTCTAATTCATTCACCACACCGTCAAAACAATCCTCAATATTATTATCCTTCCTATACAGATCTTCTGTATAGTCTCGCCACCTTCTCTTGATCTCTTCAGCTTCTGTTAGGTCCCTGCCATCTTTGTTTCTTATCATGCCCATTTTTGCCTGAAATTTACCTCCAATGTTTCTAATTTTCTGGAAGAGGTCTCTTGTCCTTCCTATTCTGTTGTCTTCTTCCACTTCCATGCATTGCTTATTTAAAAATAGTTCCTTATCTCTTCTGGCTAACCTCTGGAATTGCGCATTTAACTGGGCATATCTCTCCTTATCACTGTTTCCTTTTGCTTTCCTCCTTTCTTGGGCTACTTCCAGTGTCTCAGCAGACAACCATTTTGCCTTCTTGGTTTTCTTTTTCTTTGGGACGTACTTTGTTGCCGCCTCCTGAACAATGTCGCGGACTTCTGTCCATAGTTCTTCTGGGACTCTGTTTACTAAATCTAGTCCTTCAAATCTGTTCTTCACTTCCACTGTATATTCGCTAGGAATGTTAGTGAGATCATATCTAACTGGTCTGTGTATTTTCCCTGATCTCTTTAGTTTTATTCTAAATTGGGCAATAAGAAGTTCGTGATCTGAGCTACAGTCAGCCCCAGGTCTTGTTTTCACTGACTGGATGGATGTCCGCCACCTTTGGCTGCAAAGGATGTAGTCAATCTGATTTCGGTGTTGACCATCTGGTGAGGTCCATGTATAAAGCCGTCTTTTAGGTTGTTGGAAGAGAGTGTTTGTTATACACAGCGAGTTTTCCTGGCAAAATTCTATCAGCCTGCGTCCCGCTTCATTTTGTTCTCCCAGACCATGCTTGCCTGTGATCCCTGTTGTCATTTGACTTCCCACCTTGGCATTCCAGTCTCCTGTAATGAAAATAATGTCTCTTTTTGGTGTATTATCCAGTAGGTCCTGCAGATCCTCATAGAACTGATCTACTTCTGCTTCTTCAGCAGCTGTGGTTGGGGCGTATATTTGGATCACTGTAATGTTGAAAGGCTTTCCTTGCACTCGAATTGAGATCATTCTGTCATTTTTTGGGTTGTATCCAAGCACTGCTTTAGCGGATTTCTTATTAATTATGAAGGCTACTCCATTTCTTCGATGTTCCTCTTGTCCGCAGTAGTAGATCTGGTAGTCATCTGATGTGAAGTGGCCCATTCCAGTCCATCAGTTCGCTGACCCCCAGAATGTCTATCTTTAGTCTTGACATCTCACCAATAACAACATCCAATTTGCCCTGGCTCATAGATCTTACATTCCAGGTTCCTATGGTGTGTTGATCTTTAGAGCATCGGATTCGTCGTTCACCTCCAGTACTGTCGGCCGCTAGCCTTCCTTTCGGCTTTGAGCTAGCTGCGTCATCACATCTGGGGCTAGTTGAACTTATCCTCTGCTCCTCCCCAGTAGCATTTTGGCCATCTTCCGACCTGGGAGTCCCATCTTCCAATGGCATACCGACATATCTCTGGTTGTACTGGTCCATTTAGTTTTGTTGGCAAGGATACTGGAGTGGTTTGCCATTGCCTTCCCCAGGGATCACGCTTGGTCTGACCTCTCTGCCACAACCGTCCCGTCTTGGGTGGCCCTTCACGGTTTCGCTCATGACATCATTGAGGTGCTCAAGCTCCAGCGCCCCGACAAGGCGGTGATCCTTTGCTGGAGAAAGGAATTCTAGTGTGAGGAAATTGAGTTTCTGCAGTGATGGTCCACCTCCCTAAAATAAATCCCTTTGCTTTTATCCACAGTGTACAAGTGAACTTTCCTTTCTGACTTAGATAACTTTTATGACATCTTGAATATTTCATGTTAGATCTCCAGAAATGTTTTTGTCCTTTCTGTTTGTTTTTATATTGTGTTAATTTATTTTATTTTGCTATTGTATGTATTTTATTCTGATGTAATTTTTTGTTGTCTGCATTCTGTATTTTATTTTGCTGTATTGTATCCTTGGGCTTGGCCTCAGGTTAGCCGCTCTGAGTCCCCTTTGGGGAGATGGTGGCGGGGTATAAATAAAGATGATGATGATGATGATGATGATTATTTGAAACACCACAAGATGAGTCCATAGCAGACACTCTGCTGGCTGTTGTATTGGATCACTCATTGGACACATCTCTACTTCTTCTTCTTCTTCTTCTTCTTCTTCTTCTTCTTCTTCTTCTTCTTCTTCTTCTTCTTCTTCTTCTTCTTCTTCTTCTTCTTCTTCCTCTTCTTCTTCTTCTTCATTATTATTATTATTATTATTATTATTATTATTATTATTATTATTTTGTGAGTTGGTTATCTGTACCTGGCAATACAGGCTCAGCTTCTTATGTGTCTAAAAGCTATTGAACGGTCTCTCAGCCGAATACTGCTTCCTATTCATACGTTGCCAACCAAACAGTCGGTTTGTCTTGGATCAAATGCCTTCTCTTAGCTCTCTTTTCATAGATTTTTGGGACACAGTTTGAAATCTGTTCCAAGTTCAGCAGAAAATCTTGAAAAATGGAATTTGATTTTTTAATTGGAATTCATTTCAGTCTAAAAGTGGTATGATGTCAAAAGCTATGGACCTCTCCTCCCCGTTTCCAGGTCAACATCACACCGATACTTTGGTATAAAGTTTTAAAGGAAATTAGGATCATAGAATCATAGAGTTGGAAGAGACCTCATGGGCCATCCAGTCCAACCCCATTCTGCCGAAAAGCAGGAAAATTGCATTCAAAGCACCCCTGACAGATGGCCATCCAGCCTCTGTTTAAAAGTTTCCAAAGAAGGAGCCTCCACCACACTCCGGGACAGAGAGTTTCACTGCTGAACAGCTCTCTCAGTAAATAAGTTCATCTTAATGTTCAGATGGAATCTCCTTTCTTGTAGTTTGAAGCCGTGTTTCCATTGCGTCCTAGTCTCCAGGGCAGCAGAAAACAAGTTCGCTCCCTCCTCCCTGTGAGTTCCTCTCACATATTTATACATGGCCCTCATCATGTCTCCTCTCAACCTCTCTTCTTCAGGCTAAACATGCCCAGCTCTTTAATCCGCTCCTCATAGGGCTTGTTCTCCAGACCCCTGATCATTTTAGTTGCCCTCCTCTGGACACATTCCAGCTTGTCAATATCTCTCTTGAATTGTGGTGCCCAGAATTGGACACAGTATTCCAGGTGTGGTCTAACCAAGGCAGAATAGAGGGGTAGCATGACTTCCCTGGATCTAGACACTAGACTCCTATTGATGCAGGCCAAAATCCCATTGGCTTTTTTGCCGCCACATCACATTGTTGGCTCATGTTTAACTTGTTGTCCACGAGGACTCCAAGATCTTTTTCACACGTACTGCTCTTGAGCCAAGCCTCATCCTACATTCTGTATCTTTGCATTTCGTTTTTTCTGCCTAAATGGAGTATCTTGCATTTGTCACTGTTGAACTTCATTTTGTTAGTTTTGGCCCTTCATCTCTCTAATCTGTCAAGATTGTTTTGAATTCTGATCTTGTCTTCCGGAGTATTGGCTATTCCTCCCAATTTGGTGTCATCTGCAAACTTGATGATCATGTGACACCAAATTGGGAGGGATAGCCAATACTCCAGAAGACAGGAGCAGAATTCAAAATGATCTTAACCAATTAGGAATGGGTCCATACCATTTCTCCTGTCATTGTTTGGGGGTAAGGGCAATATATCTAAACCTGTTACTAGAATCCCTAGATCCAAATGACTGGATCCTCTGTTCTTGTCCTCACACAATGAGGAATAATCTCAGGATGAGAGCATTGCCTTGAAAAGTTTGTTGAATGACATGCTCTGAATAATATGGTTGATATTTACCGTATGTTTGCTGTTCATTCGTTCAGTCACTTCCGACTCTTTGTGACCTCCTGGACCAGCCCACGCCAGAGCTCCCTGTTGGCCGTCATGACCCCCAGCTCCTTCATGGTCAATCCAGTCACTTCAAGGATCCCATCCATCCATCTTTCCCTTGGTCGGCCCCTCTTCTTTTTTCCTTCCATTTTCCCCACCATCATTGTCTTCACCAAGCTTTCCTTTCTTCTCATGATGTGGCCAAAGGACTTCATCTTGGTCTCTACTATTTACCGTATATACTCGAGTATAAGTCGACATGAATATAAGCTGAGGTCAGCTTATACTAGAGTATAATTTTAGCACAAAAACTGGGAAAACGTATTGACTCTAGTGTAAGCTGAGGGTGGGAAATGCAGCAGCTACTGGTAAATTTCAAAATAAAGGTAGATACCAATAAAATTAAATTAATTGAGGTATCAGTAGGTTCAATGTTTTGAATACTTACATAAAACTGTAATTTAAGATAGGACTAGCCAACTCTAAACCATTATTCTAACCTTCTTCAGTGTAAATATAAATACTGTAAATAAATAAAATAAATAAATAGAACAGATCGACAGGTTATCAAAAGTAGATGAGTGGAGAAGATGAAAACTGCTAAACATGAATTACCCATCATTGATTGTAGAAAACCAAAGCTCTATTTATATACATATAGACACACTTGGCAATATTGTAGAGTAAATGAGAGCATACTTTCTATCTTTTTTTAATATGCTTTTTATTAAGAGATTTATACATAAAGTAAAACTAATGTTTGAAAAGAGTACAATGAAATTGGAACAATTAAAGATGAAAGAAAGTTACTTTCTATCTTTTTGATGATTTAGTGCTGATAGTTCATTTTGCCTTCACACATACACACACACACACATGAATGAAAAGGGGGCACCATATGAAGCATTTTTGACAACATTATAGACAACAGACTTTTGGTACGGGGTTGAGTTGCTTTGTATCTCTTTTGTGCAGAGAAAAAGTGGGTTGTAAACAAACAAACAAATAAATAAAAATAATAGGATGGATTTTCTTTTCCTGTTTTCAATATAGAAAAAATTGGTGTGGAATTACCTTTATTTGTTTCTTCCTTCTAGCACTCCTTCTTGAGATTTTTTGGTCATTGCAATGACCTCGACAGAGAAATGAGGCAATGCTTAAAGAAAGAGGTAAGCTACTGACCATTAGGTAAAGAAACAGAAGCATTTGCAGGCCAAGTGTCCACATATATATCTGCCCCTAGTTTTAGGGCATTTTTCCTCATCCTGCTGCCGTCCTGTGTATTGGACTACAAATCTTATCAACCTCATTATGTCCAATATATCTATATGGTTCTGGCTTGAGGAAGACTGGTTTTGGATTTTGTTGGATATTCACAAAATGCTCCTATTATGTTCTGAAGACACATGTGCTTCCAGGGCTAATATGTTTCTTTACCCTTGTGAAACTGTCTAAAGGTCAAATAATGGTGCAGACAAATGTTATGCCAAGAAATACATAATTATCTTACCCATTCTGATGTCACTTTCACTTGAGATGGGCATAATCCATTAGTTAAGGGAACAGGCTTTGTGACCATGTAGTCTCGCACATCAATCCCTTGGCATGGATCCCTTCTCTGTCTATAACAGTGGTTCTCAACCTGTGGGTCCCCAGTTGTTTTGACCTACAACTCCCAGAAACCCATGCTAGTTTACCAGCTGTTATGATTTCTGGGAGTTGAAGGCCAAAGCATCTGGGGACCCACAAGTTGAGAACCACTAGTTGTAGGCTTGTTATTGTCATTCTGTTTGGATGCACATATAAGGAGCCATGTTAGTATTCCACCACGGAATTTAATTTTTGTTGCACTCCAGGACAGGAAAAGCCCTTTCACTGTAAACACCACACTGTTGATTGGAAAACAATCCTTTTATTGAGAATAAATAAAAAACAGCAAAGTAAAAAGCACTTTAAAGGAATAGGTAAATCCAATTAGGCAAAAAATGAATAGGAGAAAAAGTAGTCCAGGATAAAGTTCAGCAAAGTCCATAAAAACAAAGTCCACACTTCTCTAATATAATTAAGAAAACCAGGAAACATTAATCCAAGGCATGAATAGGCATTCATACAATCCAAGAATCCAAACCATGAAACAAGAAATACTTAGACAAGAATCTTCCCAGCAAGGCTTCCATGAAACAAGGACACGAACTACACTTGATTCCAAACGATGCTTCATCCAACTATATTTCCCATACTTGAAACTTTTATCCCCTTGTTAAGCTATCCCCAGCACTCAGAAATTGGTTTTGCTTTAATTGAGATTCCCTTATCTTTTTCTGTCAGATTCTGGCAGACCGCTGAAGGCACTGTTCGATCTGCCTGTTTTGACTAATCTCCTGCCTCCTATCTATTTGCTCATTAAGTTTTGGAGCTGGGCCAGGTGCCCAGTTGTTTTCAAGCCCCAAATCCTGATAACTCTCTGGTAACAATTCAGGGAGTACACCATCATCCCCACTCCCCCCTCAGGGACATTCTCATGGGAAACTATACTTTGCACAGGGATCTCCTGGTCCTTCTCTGTGTCAGTATCATCGCCCATACCATTGCTATCTTGAAATTCATTAGCATCCCTTCCCACATCCAAAGCACCCTGATCCTGAAACACAATCACAGGCTGAACTCCAACAGTTTTCTAGTGAAATGGTTGGCGAATCCTCACAATTTGATAACAGTATTTGCTGAAAGTCTTAGGAAAGCAAATGATGTTTTTGAAATAGCGCTCTATTTTGTTTGCTGTACTTAAAAGCGGTGTATATTTGGGTGTTCTGCCAAATAACCTCTCACTTTTCAGCACTAAGCCCATGTTACATTTTAAAATATACCAGCATGACTTATTGTATATACTCAAGTATAAGACAAGTTTTTCAGCCCTTTTTTAGGCTGAAAAAGCCCCCCTTGACTTAAACTCGAAACAAAGTTATTCATTATTTTACTCTATTATTATTTTATTACATTTATTATTTTACTCTGTAATTATTATTATTATTATTATTATTATTACATTTACTCTATTTATTATTATTTACTGCATTTGTTATTTAGGCCCCCTGGTGGCACAGCGGATTAAACCGCTGAGCTGCTGAATTTGCTAACTGAAAGGTTGGCAGTTTGAATCCAGGGAGCAGGGTGAGCCTCCACTGTTAGGCCCAGTTTCTGCCAACCTAGCAGTTCGAAAACATGCAAGTGTGAGTAGACCAATAGGTACCATGCTGGCCACATGACCTTGGAGGTGTCTATAGACAACACCGACTCTTCATCTTAGAAATAGAGATGAGCACCACTCTTCAGGGTCGGACATGACTAAACTTAATGCCAAGCGGAAACCTTTACCTATCTTTTTCCTTATTATTTTACTCTTTTTTATTATTACATTTATGATTTTCCTCTATTATGATGTGAGGTTGCCTTTGAAGACTGTTCGGAGACTTCAACTAGTCCAATGGGCAGCAGGCAGATTACTCACTGGAGCGCCATACAGGGAGCACACCACCCCCCTTCTGCGTCAGCTCCACTGACTGCCGGTCCACCTCCGAGCACAATTCAAAGTGCTGGTCTTGGCCTATAAAACCCTATACGGCTCCGGCCCAGCTTACTTATCTGAACGTATCTCTCCCTACGTTCTGTTGCGTCTCAGATTAGCTTCACCTTGCTCTCTGACAAACCAGCCAAACTTGAGAAGAAAATGGTTTATTGAGGTTTCAAACAAATCCAGGTAAAAGCAGTAAAAGTTCAAAAGTACAAAGTATAGGTTCAATAGGATTTCTTAAATCAAAGCAGGAACTTGAAGCAAAGGAGCAGGATACATTCCAGGCGTTAGCATGAAGTTACAGGAAGCAGGCAGTCCCCCCAAGCCCAAGCCCTGGGCCATGGGTACAGTGATCCATTCTAGCAAAGTTGAACAGACACTGAACCAGCTTTCCAGCAGCATACTTATAGGTGAAACATCAAAACATGAAACTAAAACAATCCACTAACAAGCAATTTTCCCACCAGCAGATGGCCTCAAGATTTGGCCGCAATCCTCCCGCTTCTTCTTAACACCTGGAGCTTGCTGCTGCTCCGACCTTCACCGAGCGTCTTATCAGCCACATTCTTTGGCTGTGAGAACAAGCGTTTCTCTCTAGCTACAGACTGTGGCTGAGAAATCTGACATCCCCCTGCATCTGTATTCCCATTCCCATCATGCTCACTTGCACTCTCAGACCCATCATGCTGTTGCTGAACCACAACACTGGCAAGGAAACTAGTCCAATGTGGGCTAGGCAAAACTACAGTCTCAAACACATCTGGTGGGAAAGAGGGACAGGGCCTTCTCGGTGGTGACCCCCTGCTTGTGGAATTCGCTCCCCAGCAAGATTAGATCGGCGTCCTCCCTCCTTACTTTTAGGAAAAAACTAAAGACGTGGTTTTGGAGCCAGGCCTTTGGCTAGTGGGCACAGCAGCACTTTAGGCACTGAACTTGGACAATAGGATTGTTTGAAAATTGGAAATGGCTTTATGACCTGTGATTATGTGATTTGTTCTATGTGATTATGTAATTTTAATTAATATCACTGTTTAATTGTTATGTAATGGATTTGTTGCGCTTTATCTCACAATTCAGCAGCAGATCAGTTGCACAACTTTCCAGTAGCTTCTTCCTGCACAGTATTTTCAGTCAACTGCTCCCCCAAACTACAGTCACTCTGGAACTCTCCACAGGCACTTGAGCACATGCCCGGCCATTGTTAGTTTTACTATTGTTTCCCCCTCCAATCTAGATGACACTACAAACTTACCACAGCACATGGTTATATCTTGTCTTAGCAGTTAGGTTCCTTTAATAAATTACACAGAGCCTTCGGCAAACAGCATCACAGCTCAAGGTGAGAAAATACACTGTGCATGACTTCCTTATATACAATTCTGTACATTTACACATAGCAATCACTGGTTGATTCCCAACTCATTGACTTAACTCAAACCCAGGATTGCATCATTAACACTCATTTGGACCAGGCCAGAACGCATTTCCCAAATGATGTCCTATGTACAGTTAATGCATGACTCAGCATTTCCAATAGAAGCTTATTAGCAGTGCATGACTCAGCTATATTACATTACAATACATTGTAAAACCTGACAGGATTTTATATTGCTGTTTTATATTGTTGTTTTGATACTGTTGGCATTGAATTGTTGCCTGTGTTAGCTGCCCTGAGTCCCCCCCCCTCGGGGGCGAGAAGGGCGGGGGTAGAAATGGTCTAAATAAATAAATAAATATTATTACATTTCCATTATTTTTATTATTTTTATTATAACATTTATTTTTTATTCTCTTTTTATTATTGGAAAGTTATGTAAGCACTTTTACATCGAAGAAGGTTAGAATAATGGTTTAATCAGAGTTGGACAGTCCTATTTTAAATTACAATTTTATGTAAATATTCAAAAACATTTAACCTACTGATGCCTCAATTAATGTCATTGTATTGGTATCTATTTTTACTTTGAAATTTACCAGTAGCTGCATTTCCCACCCTCGGCTTATACTCGAGTCAAAACATTTTCCCCATTTTCTGTGGTAAAATTCATTGCCTTGGCTTTTATTTGGGTTGGCTTATACTCAAATATATGCAATATGTATTGTTAATTTATCACATTGTTTGCCTTCCAGTACCAAGAAAACAGAGCCAAGAGCCGAGTGCATTCAGAAAATTTGAGACAGAAGCTGCAGAAGAATCCAGAACACTAAAGGAACCTCTGAACTGACTGTTGTAACTCATGGAGGAGAGCTAAAGGAGTGTGCTGCTTCCCATGCCTTTTGGGTGCGTGAATCAAGGAAACAATGGAATACAGAGCAGTTGTCATGAGAGACATATATGGCTGGCAAGTGGTAGATCTTGATGCATTTAAATTATTTGGTGCAAAGAAGAGGGCAAAGTGGTGGATGTTTGTGATCCCCAACGCTTCAGCCTCCCAAATCTCCATATGTTTGGAGACCTTTTGGAATAGCAGTTCATCTTTCAAATAAGCGTAATAAAGTGTTTAATATTTTTAAAATAAATGATTTTCAAAATCTGGAAAAAAAGTATGACCAGCGCTGTTCTGTTTTTTTTTTTCTCTCTGCAATTTTTGTGGTCCCAGAGATAAAGAATTAACCTCTGAATCTGCCACTGCTTTTGTAGCATTATGAAAATAAAGGTTCTGTTATCTAAAGGAACTCTGCTCCTCTTCTTACTGTTGTTTATTTGTATTGTCGAAGGCTTTCATGGCTGGAGTCACTGGGTTGTTGTAGGTTTTTCTGGGCTATATGGCCATGTTCTAGAGGCATTTTCTCCTGACTAAATGCTAGGCTAGTCTGAAAAAAGAATAAAAATAAAATCTTCTTGTTGACTTCTGAATTCTTTTCCTATCTGGGCAATTAATCTCTTACATATAAATTGTAATTAGTCTCTCTGTCTTCTTATAGTTACTTCATTTCCATCTACTTTAAAAAAAACATGTCTAGTAAAGTCCAGTCTGTAGGGCATTGGGTTTGCCTTCCATGTCCTTTCAGAAAATAAGTTAGTCTGTCTGTGTTCTTTATATCCATTATTTTTAATTTCCATTCTTCTTCCGTTGGGTTGTGTCTTCCAATGTCTTGCAAATACAATTCTGGCTGCAAATATCATATAATTGAATAGGATATTTTGATTCTTGTTCAGATTCATGTCTGTAATCCCTAATAAGTAATATTCAGGTTTCTCCTCATACTTTCCCCCTTTCCCCTTCTTTTCCTTTCCTTTCCTTCCTTCCTTCCTTCCTTCCTTCCTTCCTTCCTTCCTTCCTTCCTTCCTTCCTTCCTTCCTCTTATCTTCATTTCTCTTTCTTTCTTTCTTTCTTTCTTTCTTTTTTATTCCCTTCTCTCCTTCCTTCCTTCTCCTTCCTTCCTTCTCCTTCCTTCCTTCCTTCCTTCCTTCCTTCCTTCCTTCCTTCCTTTCTTCCTTTCTTCCTTCCTTCTTTCCTTCTTTCCTTCTTTCCTTCCTTCCTTCTTTCCTTCCTTCCTTCCTTCCTTCCTTCTTTCCTTTTTCCTTCCTTCCTTCCTTCCTTCCTTCCTTCCTTCTCTCTTTCCTTCCTTCCTTTTTCCTTCTCTTCTTTTTTCCCCTTCCTTCCTCCCTCCCTCCCTCCCTCCCTCCCTCTTCCCTCACCTCCCTCCCTTCCCTCTTTTTTCTTTATTCCTTCTTCCTCCTTTTTTTTCTATCTTTCTTTTTTCTTCTTTCCCTTCTTCTCCTTTCTTCCCCTTCCTTCACAGCTTTTCCCTTTCCTTTCTCTTCCCTATATATTATATATTTATAACATGTAATATTACTAATAATATTACAATATAATGGTATAGTACAATATAGTAATATTTAATACTGATATTGTGCTACAATATAATATATTGTATGTATATATATCTTGTAAGCCGCTCTGAGTCCCCTTTGAGGTGAGAAGGGCGGCATACAAATGTCATAAATAAATAAATAAATAAATAAATAAATAAATATTTGCCTTTCCTGTTCCTTTTGTAGTTTAAGCTTAAGTAACTCCTTTCTCACCTTTTCAATTCTTGCTCTTGATTCACACAGCACTATGAACTGTGCTAAGTCATGGCGTCTGTAAAATCACACTCCCCAGATAATCACATTCAATCACACCATTGACATTTATGGCACACTATAGTGCCATCATGCAAGGTTACAATGGGAGATGCTGCTGCTTATGGCTGTATCTGCAATGGAAGCCCACAACAATAAAATGCAACGTTTTGTAATAGAGCACCTTGTGAGGGAAATAGTTATATATATGGCACTTAAAAACAGCTGAACTGGATTAAAGCAACAGTCCATAAATCTGAAGTTTTGCTGCCCGTGAAAGCATTACTATTATATTCCCTGAGACCAGGACTAATTCAACATATTTTGTGATCATGATGTGACAACGAGGTGGTGCCTTGTCTTCTGTTACATGTATGTCCGGAAAGTACGGTTACAATTTTTTTAAAATACAAAGAATGAATATATTTTAATAAAACGTACATGCGTTGTAGCATAGGCATTACGTCATTTTCCCACACAATCACTATTCAGTTCAATACATTTAGTCATTTTTTTATGCCTATGTCACAGAAGTTTCCCTCCACCTTTTTCTGTCAGTTCGTCACTTCGATTTTCACCTCTCGTCATCAGAAAAGTGTTTTCCACCAAGGTGTTCCTACAATTTAGTGAATGGATGATACTCACTGGGTGCTGTGAAAGGAGTGGCTTAAAATATCCCAACAAAATGAAGTCAACAACTCTTGTGTTGCATGAGTGGCATGAGGACGCGCATTGTCATGAAGGAGGACATAATGTCAAGACAGCATGTGACAAATGCGTACAGAATATATTGTGAGACCATGAAGAAACTTTGCAGAGCCATCCAAAACAAGCATCGTGAGATGCTGACGGCAAAAATTTGTCTCCCTAACCCTAACCTGTCCTCTCCATAAACTGAAATGATTCTGCATGAATCGCAGTGGCGTTCATGCTCTTAGCATTAAGGTAGAATATTACAGCACCTGAGGCAGCCTATGCCACTCTTTTCAGAATCTCTTTCCCTGCCATTTGTAAACATTGCTCCCTTGTGCCCTAGAGTAGCAGAAGGTCAGTTCCCACCACCACCCTCCTCCTCCTGAATAGGACATCTTTTGAAATCTTGAAACATGTTTCTCATGTTCCCTCTATACTTTCTCTTTTTTTCCCAGAGAAACATCACCCAGGAGGAAAGGAGGAAGGAAAAAGAGAAGGGAGGAAGAGAAGGAAGAGTAGAAGGGAATGGAGGGAGGGAGGAAAAAGAGAAGGAAGGAAAGACCAAAGGGAGAGAGAGAGGGAAGGAAGGAAGGAAGGAGAAAGAGGGAGAGAGGGAGGAAGAGAAGGGTGGAAGGGAATGGAGGGAGGGAGGGAAGAGAGAAGGAAGGAAAGACAGAAGGAAAGGAAGAGAAAGGGTGGAGGGAAGGAGGGAGGGAGAGAGGGGGAAGGAAGGAGGGAGGGAAGGAGGAAGGAAAAGAGGAGAAGGAAGGAAGAGAAAAGGAAGAGGAAGAGGGAGGAAAGAGAAAGAAAGTGAGGGAGCTAGGGAGGAAGATAAGGGAAAAGGGGGGAGGGTGCCCTGGCCTTTTCTTTTGTCCTTTCGCCGCCGTCACGCCGTCCCTTCCGCTTTGCCACTCTGTCGGTTTCCTCGTTCTGCCCTCTGTTCCCGTCCTGTGCTGCTCGCCGGGTTGCCTCTCCTTTCCTCTTTCTTGCCTTTCTCCGGTCCGGCTCCCTCCCCTGTCCTCCCTGCCTCAGTCCCGCTCCCGCGGCTTCTTTTCTCTTCTTCCTCTTCCTTTCTTCTTTCTCTCTCTTTCTCTCCCTTTTCTTCTCCTTTCTGTCTTTCTTTCTTTCCTTTCTTCCTTCTTTCCTTTTCCTTCCCCCTCCCTTCTCCTTTTCTTTCTTTCATTCTTTCTCTTCACGCGGGCTCGCTGGCCATGCGCCCTGGGGCGGTCCTCAAATGCACTATCCTAGGGCCGTCTGGGTCCGTCTGCGCCGTCCCTGCCTTCAGCCTCGGGTTTTTGCGGCTGACGAGGAGGGCCTGAGAAAAGAGCCCAAGGGGTTTGCCCATACCTATTCTACAGGACAGCTCTAGAGTAACCTCTGGCACTTATGTAACGGACCTAGAAAATTCCCAGAGAGGATATATTGCGTCAAAAAGGGGTTGATGTAACTGGATTTGCCATTGCCTTCCTTCTTGGTGGAGATTACGTGACTTGCCCAGGGTGACCCAGCACTTTTCTATAGCTGAAATGGGATTTGAACCCTTGTTTCATGGAATCCTACTAGTCCAACACACAGACTTTTGCAGGCAAATTATAAAAGCCCAGACGAATTTGTTTTGTTTGCATGTTTTGTCTCTGTTTACAAAGAAGCAATTGGGCTAGCTGGGTGTATTTTGCATTGTTGTGAAGAGGCCTGGTATTGAGTTTGCCGTTTCTGGGCCAGCAGCCAGTAGCTGGCAGAGTTATGAATTAAAAATAAAATGAGTATTTATAGGTCTGCTACATAATACTCTTTTTATGCAAGCGGCTTGTGTAGGACTCAGCTTGGCATCGCCTGGTCCAGTTGAGCAACGCGATGAAGAGGTGAAGAGCAAATATTCATAGGGGCTCGCTTACCCATGGTCCTCCTCATGGAATCTGAATGCATGCCTTGTCTAAAAAATGAACACACACTGAATTCTGAATCAAAGTACATTGGGCATGTTGGAGAGGATCTGCAGCACACACTTCCTGCTTCAATTCCTGCATTTCCACCTAGAACTGGGAACAGCTACTTTCCTCGTCCAGTTTAGAGAACTTTAAGGATCACACTAGATCCTTAATACACATTTGAATATGTATTCCCTGTATTAACCTGTTTTCCTTCCTAGAAGAGGGCTTGAAGAAGGCATTTCTGAGTTAGGTGACTCGGTGTGCATCTGAATGCAGTTTGATACCAATCTAACTGCTGAAGCTCAATGCTATGGAATCATTGAAGTTATAGTTTGACATGGTCTTGAGCCTTCTCTGTCAAAGAGTTTTGGTGCCTCACCAAACTGCATCTCCCAAGATTCCATTGCACTGAGTCATGGCAGTGAACGTGGTGTCCATCTCCATTAATTCTACAGTGTAGATGTGTTTTTACTCATCAGATTTGCAGACAAAGCCTATATTTACCATTTAATGACCATGATGAAACCCCCACCCCCAACAGTATTCACATTTGGGCATATCGGGTATTTGTGCCAAATTTGGTCCAGTGAATGAAAATACATCCTGCATATCAAATATGTACATTATGATTCATAACAGTTGAAACATTAGTTATGAAGTAGTAACAAAAATAATTTTATGGTTGGGGACCACCACAACATGAGGAACTGCATTAGGAAGGTTGAGAACCCCCTTCTGTGTTGGCTTGGTGGCAAGATGTCCCACCACAAGTTTTCTGCTCCCAGGCATGGATCCTTGGGCTTTCTGCCCTGGAAGCGCAGCCGCCGCCATCGAGGCAAAGTGAAGAGCTTTCCTAAAGATGACCCCAGCAAGCCCATTCACCTGACTGCCTTTCTTGGATACAAGGCAGGCATGACCCATATTGTCCGTGAAGTTGGTAGGCCTGGATCTAAGGTAATAGTAGTAGTAATAATAAT